CGCCAAACCCCCCACCCCTGCTCTGAGCTCTCGGCTGGTGAAATGCCTGGACGCCTGGTGGGCATAATTCACTAAGGGGAACACCCCCCTCATGGCCCAACCAGGTCTCCATAATGCATGCCAAGTCCGCTCTACCCTCTTGTATGAGGTTGTGAATGAGGGGAGCCTTATGTACCATGGACCTGGCGTTAAGTGACACCAGCCGGAGACCAGGGTCCTGTAATCCCGAGCATGTGAGAAGGGTGATGAGGGTTAGAACGCGCGATCGCTCTTAAACAGTGAACCCACATCCCCCGAACATAATTTGGCCCTCAGCCCCCCACCATATCTGCCTCTCCCACAAACAGTAGAGATGGTGAAAGTCTACATTTTAAACCACAGATCATCATCCATAACAAGCTGCTACAAACATTCAGACTATTGTAAATGATGGAAATTCTAATTTTTTTAAAAAAAAGTTTGCTATGCATCAGTGTAAGGTAAATAATAGAAAACATAACATAACATAAATCCATTCCAGTTTGGCAGTTCCTGAAATGTTCTGCATGTTGCATCCTAGTTTTTTTAATATATTTTTTTATTATTGAATTTTTTGATTAAGTACAGAGTGCTAAACTTAAAACAAATCTCTGTCAACTCTGCATATTACAAGACAGAGCAGTGATATGATCTATTCTTTGGTGTTTTGATTGAACATTTGACCTTCCTTCTTGGCCAAAATATGTTTTGTCCAAGATATGGCATACCAACCAGAAAAGCATGTACCTAAAAAGTAGCCTTTAAATATAGGAAGGTGGTAAAGACAGATAAAAGACAGAGGTTCATTAAAAAAAATCTCATCTACATTATAATCAATTAATCTTTCTGGTTGTGAAGACTGCTCTGAAAACCCAAATGTTTTAAATATATTTTGGGTAGCAGGGGATAAAGTTTACTTTTTCGATTTCAGAGTGAAATAGTCATAGTCCCAATATTTTTGCCACTTTGCCCTGATTATGGAAAATGTTGTTCTGCACTGATTACTAGTGAGGTCAAAACAGGCCATACTCACATTCCCCACAATGCATCATTTTCTCCCCTCTCTCTTTTTGTTATGGGCAGCAAGCAGGCGCATCCAATGCTGTATTACTTTCTTCTTTCATTCATGACGATGTCACATACAGGCTCTGCAATCCTGAAAAAGAAGCATTTCCCAGATTTTGAGGACAGAGGTACTCTAACCAATCCATCAATGCTTTGTGTGCTAATGATAGATTCACGCATAAGAGACACCATAAGCAGTGTGAGCAGCAGGCATGAAAAGGAGTGAATCAACTGTCAGCAGTTGAGATCTGAAGGACTGTAAGGCTGTGATTAGAATTTTCAATCAGAGTTTCCACAATTCATCATGTTACTCAGAAAGAAATGATGGGCTATCCCCTTTTTCTTTTTAACAGACATCTTCCTTCAACTGTTTCTCTCCTCCTTTAATATTAGCATATCACTAAGTTTCTGAGACTTAGGGCTGGGTGGAAGGGGAAGCTCGTTCATTTCCATTTATAGCACAGATTTAGAGCAAAGAGAAGGGAGCAGAAAAATATCGTTTTCTGTTTCCTTTTGCAGGCACAAAAATCTGTAATAAATTTGATTTCACTGTAAAAAATCATTTAAGTATTCAGATGAATTTTATAGGATTAAAGAATCAAAAGTGCTTTAGTCTTTTTCCATAGGACTGTATTCCTTCTTCAAGATTACTGTCCTCCTTTTAGATAATCACATGGCATATCTTTGAGAACATTTTAACTCTGGCATCCTGTATCTGTAATATAAATATAGGATAACTTTATGTGGAAAGACAGAATACCATAAAACCTATTTATATGTAATCATAGCATTTAGAAAATCTGAATAAATTTAAAAAGAGGGTACATAATTCCTCAGATTTTAAAAGCTTGTTTAATATGGATGCAAGGAATGAAAATGTGTTTATTTTAACCAAGAATGTATTAGATCAGTCATCATTAACAATGAAACTCTCTACAGTACTTTCTTAGCGCAATCCCATTTTCTATGTTTGGCCAGATGGATAAGCTACAGCATGACAACTAAATATACTTTGATATTAAGGTCCAATAAAATGACATTTTCAGAAATTAATACAGCTTTAGTACCAAGAATGCACAGGCATCTCTTTAAAAAATTGATTGAGAAACATATCAAACAAGGACCATGATAGCAAACAAAATGATGGAAATTAAACCACTTGCCATTTAAATTATTGTATTTAAGCACCAGTTTAAATACTAAATATTTACTCCATTCTCTGAGCCAGAATAAAATCCAACTAATTGTGTAGCCAATCGTGTATTTATTTCACTCAATTTATACGGCCACACATCTCACCAGGATGACTCTGTGCCACTAACAGCAGTTAAAAACATAAACAAAATGTAAATGAAATATATTTGCTGCCTATAAGATAAAAACCAATCAAATAATTAAAATAGCCATTCCCTGGTCTCTAACTGACAATCCAGTGCTGGGAATATGAGCAGGTCTTCAGAGCTTTGCAAAACACTAGCAAGATCAAGGCCAATCTATTCTCTGGAGGAATGATATTCCAGAGGGAAGGTGCCACGACAGAACTTTTGTATCCTGTGGCCTGCCAGATGACATTCCTCCATCAATGGGAACCATAACATTCTTTTTCTGCCAGATGTGATGGGATGAGTAGAAACAATCAAGCAGAGGTGGTCCCATAAATAACCAGGCCCCATGCCATGAAGATCTTTACAGATGACTACTAGTGAATTGTGCTCAGAATCATACTGGTAACCAGTGCAACTCACAGGGCAGAAGTGAAACATATGCACACCAGGGGGGATCCATAACTGCCTCATTTAAGACCAGCTGCAGCATCTGTATGTTTTTCAAGGCTAAACCCATGTAGAGCTACTTGCAATAATCCACTCAGGAGGTGACAAAAGCATGAAGGACTCTGTGCAGAACCTCTTGGTTTAGGAAAGGATGCAATTCAACACAACAATGTGCAAAAATCCTCCAAGCCACCCAGAAATTGCACATGGATTCTGTTTGGGATAGTGCAACCCAATTCAGAGCAAGAAAGGAAAACTATCTAGAACTAAGGGTTCCAAAAAGCCAAGCATGGTTGGATTGAACTTGTTCTTCCCCACCCAAGCTCCCATGGCATCCAGACACCAAGACCGAACTTCCACCCCATCGCCTGTTCAGCCCAGTGCCAAAATCTAAAGATATCACCAGCATACTGATCTTACCCAGCAGCTTTGGGTAGATTTTAAGCAGCAGTGTAGAGAGGTCATGCCTTGAAGAACCCCAGAAACCATGATCTGTGCTAGAATCCTTCTTCATCAACATCAACATCAGCTTCAGAAGAAGGAAGAGAATCAGTGCAACACAATGCTATTCACTGTTAAAGCTGGGCCAGAAGGTAGCTTTTATGTGGATGTAATTCTAACACAGAGGGCAATAATAATGTAGTAATTTATCTGGGAATTCTCTTTCCCTTTCTTCTTTGTCTAGTTCTCATATTTTTATAGTGAACCATATAACTAAGCTCATGGGCATATTTGGTTATTCAAGCAATTATTTGATTTCTTGAAACATGCATATGGTCAGAAACTGAAAGCCATTCAAAATCTGATCTTTGGGGACCAATTCTGAAATAATATCTGCTTACTAATTAACTTCAGTATATTTTACTTTATTTAAGAAATCATATCAGATAAAACCAAGGAATCCAAATTATGCTTTTAATTTGAATATGGTGAGGGTATATCTGGAGGTAAGCAAGCAATAAATAAGAGTGATGTGATTGGCATTCACAATAAAAACAGAGTCGCAGAGAGAAGCTAAGGCAAGAACTTTTGCTAAAATCCAAGGCTTTGTTTGTATCCTTGCAAGGTAGATCACACTTTGGTGCTATGACTGCATATTAAAAATCTTGAAATAATATCATGAGCTCAGCTTGTGTAAATTAGGGATATATCAGGGGCTAAAATCTAAATCATAGTGGAAACACTGCTTAGAATCATTTCAATCTGAACTATTACCATGATTCTCATATCTATTCTTTGTCAGTATCTAAACAAATGTGATAATAGACTGAAAAACATTTCTATTTCTTTCCCTGGTAAATATCAACTGCATTCAAATCCTCTCCTTTCAAATAATCCTGGAGTTTAATCTTTTAAAGGCCTATTTTGATCTTTTCCTTGGCAGATAACATCACTCCCATTTGCTAACCATTCCAGATATTCTGAACAAGAGGTCAACTGTAATTCTGTCAGCTAGCAAGCAAAACATATGTGGATTACTACAAAGAGGTTTGCATATTAACATTTCAACTAGACTGACAGGTGCATAGTAAAGATCTCATATGACAGTTCTACCATTGAGCAAGGTATTCCAACCTTCTGTCAGGCATGGAAGCAGTAAACAATTGTTGACAGCAAAGCCTCATTTATATGAACAAAGCCATTATTCACATTAGGTCTAGGATCTACCAAATGGCTAAAAGAAACAGAAAATGGTTCTTAGTGAAATGAAAATTTATTAAATTGAAAGCCATAATGAATATTCACTTTTGGATTCCAATGATTTCCCAAATTATACTATAATACATATTGACAATATTGTTCCACTATAAATACTAACAATGTTGTACTCATTAAGGCAGAAACCAATGTTTATCTATGGGTTTCAAATTCCAAATTCAGCATAGCCACTGCTGAACCTTTTTAAGTCCACATATCTAATATGTAATTTGCCTAGAAAAACATCTCCACAAATTACTGTTCACAAACCAAATTGGACTGTATAAGATATAATATACTGTAAAACCAAACAATCAAATCAAATCAAGGTGCTGGAAGAAGGTTAGCAGGATTTTTAAACTGGAAGAAGAAATGTTGATAATCTTATGCTATGGTTTCGGCTGCCTGGTGCCCAAAAGCAGATCACATGACTGATGGGATGTTGCAAAGACTGTAAGTGTGAGTACTGATTGTAAATCACTTTTTTCAGTGCTTTTATAACTTTGAATTTATATACTACAGTATACAAATAGTTGTAAACTGAGGACTACATGTATATAACAATGCAGTAAACATATGTAATACTCTTTTTTTTCACAACAACCCTGTAAGGTGGGTTGGGCTGACAGTGAATGACTGGCCAAAGTCACCCAAATGAGTCACGTGAATAAGAAAGGTCTAGATCAGGAATGTCAAACTCAAAGCCCACGGGCCATATCCGCCCCATGAGGTGGTTAGATCTGTCCTGCGGGGCCACCCTGGAACAGCAAAGGATCGACCCACAGTGCCTCTGCCAGCGAAAATGGGGTCCAGTCTACCACATGTGGCCCCCTGACCTCTGTTTTAGCTGGTAGAGGGCTGCAGGAGGCAATCACAGCTGAAAATGGGCCCATTTTCGCTGGCAGAGCCTTGGGCCACCACAGGCACCTCCAACATGACTGAGGTCAAACTGGCCATGCCCACCCTGGCCAAACCCACCACATCCCCTCGAAATCTAACACAACCCTGATGCGGCCCTCAGTGAAATCATGTTTGACACCCCTGGTCTACCATGTTTCTCCAAAAAAGCTGAATCTTATTTTCTTCTGACTCCCGAAAAAACGGCTAGGCCTTCTTTTTGGAGGTTGTAATTATTGATTCACCTGTGGCAGGAGCCCACAGCTGGGCTACTTCTTCGGCGGTCACTTGCTGCCACTTGCACATATCCCCCTGACCTCTATTTCATCTTCAGATGCCTTCCAGCAGGCATCTGAAGGCGAAACAGAGGCCGAGGCAATGCGTGAGAGTGGCAGCATGCAGCCATAGAAAAAGTGGTTGCAGAAGAAAGTGAGGCAGGCATCGGGATGTATGAGGCCTGGTAAGTAGGGCAGCTCTACTACCCCATCCTCACCCTACTTATTTTTTACCTGTGTGCCTTACCCTCCCTGCACTCCAAGGTGCGTGGGGTCTTAATTAGGGCTAATTTTATGGGTGGGACTTAATTTGATTGCATGTGCTCAAAAACATGATACAGCTTCTTTTCAAGGTGGGTCATGTTTTTGGAGAAACCCAGTAGATAGTCTCTATGTTTCTAGACCAGCACCTTAACCACTACATCAACTTGCTCTCAATAACATTAGGA